TAGATAGATAGATAGATAGATAGATAGATAGATAGATAGATAGATAGATAGATAGATAGATAGATCTTTACTTTATTGATCCCACAGGAAATTGTTGTGCCAGAGTTTCAGTAAAAGGAACATACACAAGGAATCACACAAGATATAAAAATAACAGAGAATATAAAAAATATCAACAATTAAGTCCTAAACAGGTCAGGTGCAGACACAAACATTATAGTTCATCATAGTACAGGATTAATTTTATTGTCCCATCTTCCTGGTTTCAGTGAGAACGCGAGCAGCAGCATTCTGGATCAGTTGCAGCTGTCTGATCTTTTTAGGCAGACATGTGAAGACACTGTTGCTGTAGTCATTGCGACTAAAGATAAACGTGTGGACGAGTTTCTATAGATCTTGCTGCAACATTAGTCCTTTAATCCTGGAAATGTTCTTCATGTGATAGAAGGCCAACTTTGTAGCTGTCTTTATGTGGCTCTGAAGGTTCAGGTCTGAGTTCATCACCACACCCAGATTTTGGGCCTGATCACTAGTTTCTAGCTGTAATAACTGAAGCTATGTGCTGCCTCTAGATCGTTCCTCCTTAGTTCCAAAGATAATTACTTCAGTTTTGTTTCTATTCAGCTGGAGAAAGTTATGGCACATCCACACATTGATTTGTTCTAAGCATCTGTCCAGTGCTAGGATGGGTTCAGTCACCTGATGACATTGTAATGTAGAGCTGTGTATCATCTGTTTAGTTATGGTAACTAATCTTTTTCCCTGTTATAACCTGAGCTAGTGGGAGCATATAGATATTGAATAACAGTGGTCCCAGGATTGAACCTTGGGGTACCCTGTATGTGACTTTTGTTTTCTTCGATGAGAAGTTACGTATTGAGACAAAAAAAAATCCTTGTTCTTTATGTAAGATTTGAACCAACTGAGTACTGAACCGGAGAGTCCTACCCAACTCTACAGTCATTCCAATAATATGTCATGGTCAACAGTGTCAACACTGAGGTCCAGCAGAACGAGCACTGTGGTTCTTCCACAATCTGTATTTATATGGATGTCATTGAACACTTTGACAAGGGCAGTCAAAATACAAGGATGGCTCAGTGGTTAGCTCTGTTGCCTCACAGAAGGTCCTGGGTTCAATCCCCATTTGGACCTGGAGTCTTTCTGTGTGGAGTTCGCACGTTCTTGTTGTGCTTGTATGGGTTTTCTCCGGGTACTCCTGTTTCCTCCCACAGACCAAAAACATGCATGTTAGGCTGCCTTCAGGCCCAGGCCTCCCTTGTGAAAGAGATCTGTGATCTCAATGGGATTTGCCTGGTAGGTTAATAAATAAAATAATAAATAAGGAAAATATGGAACAATAAGATCTGTAATATAAGATGGAGCTAGGTTGTTGAGAGCTTTGTAGGTTAGAAGTAAGATTTTGAATTCTATTCTGGATTTGACAGGGAGCCAATGGAGAGAAGCTAAAACTGGAGAGATATGATCTCTCCCAGTAACTCCAGTTAAGACTCTGGCAGCAGCATTTTGGATCAACTGAAGACGTTTTAAAGAAGTATTTGGACATCCAGATAATAAACCGTTGCAATAGTCCAGTCTAGACGTGACAAATGCATGGACCAGTTTTTCTGCATCATCTTTAGATCACATGTTTCTAATGTTAGTGATATTACGCAGGTGGAAGAAGGAGGTTCTAGTAACGTTTTTAATGTGGGGGATAAAAGACATGTCCTCATCAAAAATAACACCATCTAATAATAATAACAGATGATGATGATGATGGATGATGATGATGATGATGTTGATGATGATCATGGATGATGATGATGATGATGATGATCATGGATGATGATGATGATGATGATGATGATGTTCATGATGATGATGATGGAGATGATGATGATGATGATGATGATGATGATGATGATGATGATGATAATAATATAATAATAACATCTGTTCCGGCCGGCACACTCAGAAGTTGTCTTGTAGACCCTTAAGGTAGCTCCAGCAGCACTTGATGGAGTTGGTTAGGGGTCACATCATGTGATTTTACATGATGCTGGGGGGAGGGGGAGGGGGTATCTCAGCATATTGATGTCTCATTTCAGGTTGAACTGAGCACAAGAGCACCCATCTACAACTTTGTACCTCATTCTTTTTTCAGTAACTTTTTAAAGGCCTGATTTATACTTTTAATATTTTATCTGAGCAGCACGGTGGTGCAACTGGTAGAGCTGCTGCCTCTCAGCGAGCAGGTCCCTGGTTCAAACCCCGGTCCAGGGGCCTTTCTGGGTGGAGTTTGCATGTTCTCTCCGTGCATGCGTGGGTTTTCTCCGGGTACTCCAGTTTCCTCCCACAGACCAAAAACATGCATGTTAGGCTGATTGGTAACTCTAAATTGTCCCTAGGTGTGAGTGAGAGAGTGAATGGTTGTTTGTCTCGTTTGTCTCTGTGTGTCCCTGTGATGGACTGGAGACCTGTCCAGGGTGTCCCCCGCCCCTCGCACAGTGATTGCTGGACATGGGCACCAGTGACCCCCGTGACCCAAAATGGAATAAACGAGTAAAGATAATGGATGGATGGATGGTAAAGATAATGGATGGATGGATGGTAAAGATAATGGATGGATGGATGGTAAAGATAATGGATGGATGGATGGTAAAGATAATGGATGGATGGATGGATGGATATTTTACGTAGCTACAATATGGCCTCCAGTACCCTCTCTTAGGAGCCCCCAATCTGCTGAAATGGCAGCAAACACTTGGGCTGTCTGCCCCTGCAGCCTGCGGGTCAGGGGCTCTCATGTTTTGCTGATGATAACTTCCTCTTGCAGGTTGTGTTTGAACTTGTGTGAAGAGCAAATGAAATGAAACATCAGGCTTTCATCTTGGAATGTTGTTTTTTGTATGGAGTAGGAAAAAAGCAGAAGTGTGCTGTTTACACGACCATAAATGAATAATTAGTAGCAGAGCATCGTCTTATTTTAGCAGAAAAGCTCGATTTTACTGCGGACTTGGTTCTGTGCTGTTGTGAAAAGCTTGTGAATATTTAGTGTTTCTATCATTTTTGCAGCCATATTTCATGCTTCACAGCATGTGCTTATGATGCAGTTGGAAAGTTTCAAACGTCAGGACAGTACTAACTGAAGTTATGCAGGAATCCACAGATGCATATGTAATTCTTCATGTCTTGTTCCCTCTGCTCATCCCAGGTCTTTTTTTGTTTTGTTGTTGCTTCCAGTCTCTCCTCTCACCCATCTGTCTCCCCCTCATCCTTCTTCACTTCCTTTTCTGCTCCTCCACGAAGCGTTTTCTTGTTTTAAGCGGGCTCCGTTTTCTTGCCTCCACTCCTACAACCGAACGCTGGCACTGCTGAAGGGATCTCTCACACTCACTCTGCTTCCTTTTCTCCTCTCCAGCTTTCTCCTTATCTGTCTCTTTTCATCCGCGTCTTTCCTTCCCACCTCTCACTCTCTCACCATGCACAAATGGCTCACTTTGCACATTACGGGAGCATCCATCACTTTGCTCGGTGAAGGAACAAACTCTATTCTCTACTTTTGTCCTCGGCTGCTTTTTGTCTTTTTCCAACTCCAGCGGACTCAGTTGTGACGCTGCAACCAATATGTTTTATTTCCAGCTGGTCATCATGGCAGGGACCGTTCTGTTGGCGTATTACTTTGAATACACGGACACATTCTCCGTGCACATCCAGGGCTTCTTCTGTTTCGACAAAGCCTATTCCAAGCCATACCCAGGACCAGAGGACAACAGTAAGGCGCCGCCTGTCCTCGTCTACTCCCTCGTCACCGCCATCCCCACTGTGACGGTGAGTCAACTTGCTTTTAAAATAAAGGTTTCAAATACTCCACAGGTGCTCATTGTGCACAAACACACATATAGCATTTCCAGATGTAAAAATAGCCCATGTTCCCATGCACACACAGAAGATGGTTTGATCTCATCTGCACGTGGTGAAGGAGGAGGGGGTTTGTGTGTAGGTGTGTGCCCTCATGGCGCTCGCTGCTCTGTTCATGGGGGTGCGCTTTCTGTTATAACCATGGCAACGGGCACTATATTTGTCCTCCGCACAGCAGTCAAAGATGGAGTCTGCTCCTGTTCTAAATCACACACTAAAAGAATCAAATTAAACATCACTTGTGAACTGATTTATGTGTTGAACAGAATGCACAGATTTATCACTTCCCCTCTTACACGAGACTTAAAAAGGCTCAGTGGCTGCAGAATCAAGAATTGTAGGTCATATGCTGCCAAACATCAATATTCATTTGAACCAATTGAATATGGGGGAATTTCATCTAAACCAAATGTTGTTCAGATGTTTATTTGATAAGATAATAAACTGAGGTGCAGCAGGAATATTAATAATGAAACATCTTCATCAAAGCTCTGCATTTTGACCTGTGGGCCTCCACGCGATGATCTGACACATTTAGGTGGCGACACGTCTGCTTATGAGCTGGGCTTAAAAAGACCCCCCACACCCCAAACCACCAGGAAACAGCCCTTATTCACTCTGCTCACATATGACTGTACACCTACTCATCCAGGCTGTCACATTGTAAAGTTTGACCTCTCTAAGTGTCTTTAAGAATCTGTTGGACTCCTGGCAGGGTCCAATGCTGACATGTTCCTGGTTTTAGTTTTCTACATTTGTCTTGGAATCTAGCTGTTTGTTTGTTTTGTTTTGTTTTGTTACCTTTTCCTTTTAGCCATCCTATTTGTTAAAAAAAATAAAATAAAAAAAATAAAAAAAATAAAACCTGTATTATGACTTTTTATAACTGTTTATTGTTGTTGCTGTTGTCCATTGTTGTCATCTTTCTTTGTTGAAATCAGGTCTCTCTTGTAAATGAGTCCTCGAGGCTCACTGGGATTTACCTGTAGAAATAAAGGATGAATGAATGCAGATGATACAGTGGTGGTGGGATGCTTCACAAACAATGATGAGTCCAGCTACAGGCAAGAGGTGGAACACCTGGAGAGCTGGTGCAGGAAGAACAACTTTCACATCAATGTGAAGAAGATGAAGGAGATGATTGTGGACTTCAGACAGAGCAACCCCCCGCCGACATATGAGGATCTGTGGTGGAAGTGGTCTCCAGCTACAAGAACTTGGGTGTGCACCTGAACAACAACCTCAGCTGGAGCAACAAAACCACCAGCCTGATGAAGAAAGTTCGCCAGAGACTCTACTTCCTCCTAGACCAGACTACTACTACTACTAATAATAATGAATTTAATTTGTAACACACTTTTCATTAACAAAAATCTCAAAGTGCTACAGAGTGCAACTAAAATCAAAGATAAAAATAAACTAAAATCAACGATACAATCATGTGGAGGCAGAATAGGCTTGCTTAAAAAGAAAAGTCTTTAAGCCTTCTTTAAAGTCAGTCAATGATTGTGGAGCTCTCAGATAGTCAGGGAGGGAGTTCCAGAGGCGGGGGGCAGCCACACAGAATGCCCCATCTCCCATGGTCTTTAATTTAGTTCATGGAAGGAGAAGGAGATGACTGTTCTGTGATCGTAGGGACCGGGTGGATGAATATGGAGCAAAAAGGTCCTTCAGATAATCTGATGACGTTCAGTTTAAACACTGATGGTGATGAGAGCAATTCTGTACTGAATTCTGTAGGTGACAGGAAGTCAGTGGAGGTTATGGAGAATGTGTGCAATATGTTCAAATTTACGAGCTCTCAATAAAATCCTGGCTGCACTGTTTTGAATATATTGAAGCTTCTGAAGGTTTTTGCCGGGTATTCCAGTAAACAGGGAGGTGCAGTAGTCGAGCCTGGAGGAGACAAAGGCATGGACGAGTTTCTCTGCATCAGCAAAAGTGAGAGATGGGCGCAGCTTGGAGATATTTCAAAGATGGAAGAAACAGGCTTTAAACAGATGCTTAATGTGATTTTCAAATGTAAGATGAGAGTCCATTTTTATTCCAAGATTTGTAACAGAGGTGGAGAGGGGGATGTCTTGTCCGGAAAAGGAAATAGTCGTTATAGTTGAGGTTTGAACCTGGTGAGGAGTGCCAATCAGTATGGCCTCTGTTTTGGAGCAGTTTAACTGAAGAAAGTTCTGATTCATCCATGCCATACTAGACTAGACTAGACTACTTCCTAGACTACTTCTTCCCAAACCAGCTCGTCTCAGCCGCCCGAGGAAGTAGAGTCTCTGGTGAGCTTTTTTGATCAGGCTGGTGGTGTTGTTGCTCCAGCTGAGGTTGTTGTTCAGGTGTACACCCAAGTACTTGTAGCTGGAGACCACTTCCACCACAGATCCTCATATGTTCAGAGATGGGGTAGCTGTGTTTGTTCTGTCTGAAGTCCACGACAATCTCCTTCATCTTCTTCACATTGATGTGAAGGTTATTCTTCCTGCACCATCTTTCCAGGTGTTCCACCTCTTGCCTGTAGCTGGACTCGTCATTGTTTGTGATGCATCCCACCACCGCTGTATCATCTGCAAACTTTACAATGTGACAGCCTGGATGGGTAGCTGCACAATCATACGTGAGCAGAGTGAACAGGAGAGGGCTCAACACACAGCCCTGAGGGGAGCCAGTGCTGAGGGTTAAGGTGGAGGAGGAGAAGTTGTGGATCCTCACTGACTGAGGTCTGTTTGTTAAGAAGTATAGGACCCATTCCTCCATCCATACCACTTTATTTATAAAGCACTTAAAAGAGCTACAAGGCCAACCAAAGTGCTGTACAGACAGAAAAACAGGTAACACACAAAGCAAAATACAAAATGAGGTAAATCAGAATATAGACATAAAAACGATGCAGATAATGACGACAAACCAGTGTGGAGCATACAGGATCAAACACAGATCATCTGGTGTTGAAAGCTACTGAATAGTAGTGAGTTTTTAAACTGGACTTGAAAACCGAGAGGGAGGGGGGCCTGTCTGACAAGCAGAGGTAACTCGTTCCAAAGTCTTGGTCCTGCTACAGAGAAGGTCCTGTCACCTCTGCGCTTAAGACGAGTTCCTGGAACTGTGAGGAGCAACTGGTCCGCTGACCTCAGGGAGCGTGGTGGGACATACGGTTGTAGCAGATCAGAGAGATGGGGTGAACTGTTCAGTGATTTGTAGACATACAGGAGTATTTTGAACTGGATTCAAAGATGAACCGGTAACCAGTGCAGGGAGGCCAAAACTGGTGTAATGTGCTCTCTTTTGCACTCTCTACTCCGCTCCTGTTTCCTGGAATATCTTGTAAAAAGATCTGAAGCTCTCGACCTTTGACCTCTCTAAGTGTCTTTAAGAATCTGTTGGACTCCTGGCAGGGACCAATGCAGACATGTTCCTGTTTTTAGTTTCTACATTCGCCTTAGAATCTAGCTGTTTTTTTTTTTGTTACCTTTTTCTTTTAGCCATCCTATTTGTTTAAAAAAAAAAAACCTGGAGTATAACTTTTTATAACTGTTTATTGTTGTCACTGTTGTCCACTGTTTTCATCATTTTTTGTTGAAGTCAGGTCTCTCTTGTAAATGAGTCCTCGAGGCTCAATGGGATTTACCTGGAGAAATAAAGGTTTGATGAATTAGGAACCTTCAGTGAAGCTGTGGTTGTGCTGTGTTGTTTCCTGAAACCAGATTGATGTGGAGGTAAGATGTTAAATGAGTCCAGGTCATTTTTGATTTGAGAGTTTATCAGTTTTTCTAGAACCTTGGCTAAAATGCAGAGTTTAGAGATTGGTCGATAGTTGTTCAGTGAGGTGGGGTCTCCTCCCTTCAGCACAGGAAGAACAAAGGCTGTTTTCAAGAGTCTGGATGGAGTTTTGTCTTATGGAGAGATTGAAGATGTGGGTCACAGGGACTGTGATGAAATGAGCAGCCAGCCTTAAGAAATAAGGTGGAAGTTCATCTGGACCTGCAGATTTTTTAGGATCAAGATCTTTTAACAGTTTATTGACCTCACTGACTGAGAATGGAGAAAAAGAGAAGCTGTGATTAACTGAGGATTGACTTGTAGGAGGGATTTGATTTGTAGAAGTTTGGTTATTAAGTGAAGTGGCTGATCTTCCATTAGTTACTGTGTCAAATAAAGAACTAGAAGAACAAAATGTTTGTTGAAACAGTTCAGGATCTCGTGCTTATTTGACACAGGAACAGAGTTAACGAGAAGTTGTGATGGGAGGTCAGATGATTGGGGGGTGCCTGAGAGAGATTTGATGGTTTTCCAGAATCTGTTAGGGTCATTTAGATTTTTGGAGGTCTGAGATAAGAAATAGTTGTTTTGCTGCTTTGACAGCAGTTGTGCATTTATTCCTCATCTGATGAAAACTCAACCAATCAGAGTCTGAGTCAGATTTTCTCGCTGCGGCCCAAAGATGGTCTCTCCTGTGCAGGAGGTCAGCTAGCTCTGGAGTAAACCAGGGGCTGTCTCGTCCCTTTATTCTGAACTGACGAAAAGGAGCATGTTTGTTCACGAAAAAAATGAAACTATTATGAAAATAGTTCCAAGCAGAGTTCACTT